AATCTCAATAACCAAACCTCTCCCCCTATCATGCATTATACAGTTTAACAAAATGTTAACTCATAATTTCAATATCACAGGAGTTTTTCTTTCAGGTTTAATTTTTAGGAATTAATCCTCTATATTTTATAGTTGTAAATAACATTTTAAAGTAAAAACAGTATCCACTGTGATGAGCTTATACATTTTTCCAGAAAATATTATGTAGTTTGGACATGGCTAAGTTTTAAAATATTGTTTTTGAGTCTAAAGAGAATTTAGAAGTCATTTATCACAATCCCTTAATTTTATAAACATTGAGGGTTAGGAATAGCAATGTATTTACTTTCTCAAATACTACAGAGATTTATAAAAATATGTGTGTATATATGTATTCAGAACTGGAAGGCAACTTGTAGAAATTAAAATAGTTTGAATAAGAATGTGAAGGTCATAGATAATTTTTGCTTTAAAGTGATCTTTATTGTTATTATATTGCTTATCTGATATTTAAAAATACAATATACTGTACCATAGTTAAAAACTATAATTTCTATTTCATGTTATTAACAGTAACTTAACCCTCAAATAAAAGTTTAGACTAAAAAAAGACAATGCCCATAATCTTTTCCTATTTATTGTAATATATTTAACCACACAATTTTGAACCTTAACATTTTCTCTTATATCTTTATTCTAAAATTAATATTACTCCCAAATATTGAAATCACAAATTTAAAATACTTAATTTAAATAATTTTTTTAAACCTGATTTGTATACAATGCTCTAGAAGTTTTCCTTTTTTAAATCTGTATTTTCAAAAACAGTCATTTGTTTTTAACAACTAGCAACATGTGGACTTAAAGGCCGTGAGGCACCCATGCAGCACAATCTTTACATTTTATTTAAATTTGTCAGTGTTAGGAAATAAGCTGCAACTTCCTTGCAATTAAGTAGGTGTTTTTCCTAACCCCCCCAAAAAAACACCCCAAACCCCATATTTTTCTGATACCTAAACAATAGGTGGAATTCCTCTCCACCCTCATCTCACTATAACGCACAGAAGAAAGCCATGGCTAAAAAATAAAACATGTAAATGAATAGAAATGATTTGTTTGTTTGTTTGTTTTATTTTTAGAGAGATGGGGAGGGAGGGTGGGAGGAAGGGAGAGAGGGAGAAAGAGAGGGAGAGAAACATCAATGTGTGAGAGAAACAATTACCTCTTGCAATGCCACCAACGGAGCACCTGGCCTGAAATCCAGGCATGTGCCCTGACTGGGAATCGAACCTTTTGGTTTGCAGGCTGATGCTCAATCCACTGAGCCACACCAGCCAGGGCAGAAATTGTTTAAACATATGCTTTGGAAATAAGTTTTTGTTCATTTCGCTACTAATATATCCTTAGAGCAATTTGAAATGTCATAAGAATTAATAATGCAAGAGTATTAATAGAGTTGCTCAAACCCTTTACATAGAAATTTCTCTTTCAGTGACTTAGCTAGAGTAAATGATTAAAGTGAAATATATGCATGAAGATATTCACTATATGTAATGGCATTAGGATAAATAGTAATTGTATAATGATAAAAAATTAAAAATCACCCAAAAGTGGTTTAGTAAATTGTCCACTAAGATGAAAGATTGTATTGCCATTACGAAAAATTTGAAAGCCAGGCAGACTCAAAGGAAGATTTATATGCTCTAATAGTGTAAGAAGCAAAAATGCTACATATACCATAACTGTCAGTAAGTAAAAAATGTAAACATGCTAACAAGAACTGGAAGGAATTATGCAGAAGTAAGAATAGTAGTGATTAAATGTGGTATTTTTATTTCAAAAAATATTTTCACAAGTTTTGGTAATAAAAATGTCTTAAAACAATTTAATGTAAAATGAAACAAATCCAATGGCCAAAATTCAAAAGCAAAAGTCATTTTTCTAGTTCCTAATCTTATTTCTAAATGTATCGCCTACTTGCCTTTAAGGTTTTAAAAATAAATAAACATTATCATGTTCTAATCCCAAAGCCCAGAATTCATACAGAGCAGTATAGCTAAGCAGAGTATTTACAGTGGGCAGGACTAAACTTTGCATGTAAGCACATACAGAAAATGATAAAGATCGTTATGTCCTATTAGTAATTTACAGAATTGTGATTTGCTCCACCCAGTATACCTATAATTGAATTCCTCAGCCATAAAATCATTGGGACCAAACAAGTTCCAATATCTTTTATCTAAATCCTTTTTTCTCCCTTACCATCAGTTAACATATTTCTTATGGGGCTTTTCTTCTTTTTATAGACTCATTTGTCTTAGTTATAAATTAACTCCACACTCAACTCTCCCAACCAGCTCTACTGTTTTCCTGTGTACCAGGTTTTCTTTTTCCTTGCACTATTTATGACATAGGGGCCATTTAAACTGCCAGTTGGAAAATGATGTCTGGAGAATCATCTCTAGATTAAAAAAAAAAAAGATTCCTAAGGATAAGTGCCCACGGGCAGAAATTCGCCTCATACATAGCTGGACACACTAGCAAAGAAGTGAAATGTAAATGCTGAAGACTTCTGTTGTTTCTTTTTTACATTAAAAAAATGTGGTGAGATATACAGAACGTACAAATTTGCCATCTTAGTCATCTGTAAGTGTACAGTTCTGTGGCATTAGTACATTCACAATGTTTTGTGACTATCACTATCCAGCTCCAGAACTATTCATCTTCCCAAACTGAAAGTATAGGCATTAAACACTAACTCCTCATTCCCCTCCACCTCTCTTCCCACCCTGCCCCTGGTAACCACCATTCTACTTTCTGTTATTTCTTGTTTTACCCAAAATCTGTGAAATAGTGTAATTTACTAAATTGGTTGAACACAAAAGAGAGTTACCAACAAAAAAAATTTAGGGAACAATTTGTTATACTTAGCATTTCACTTTTCATGCCCCAACACTTCAATTCAGACCAAATACTCATTTTCAGATGCCAAAGTATATATCTGTCTCTTACTTGTCTTTCAAGAGCCTGGTCTTTTGATTTTAAGTGGCTTTAGCTTTTTCTAAACTTAAACTGATTTTCTACACCAACTTAATGCTGCTATCAATTTCCTTTCAGAATCGAAGTTCCCATAGTACTACTTGTATTCCCTGAATTCCCATATATTTTACCTTAAAAAATGTGATATTCTCTCATATTTACTGTTTAAATATAAGACTACTAATTCTATATCCTTTAAATGTTGTCTTGGGTAATGAAGATTGGTTGACCAAGAGATTATTAATGAGATCTAAATACTTTCACAGTTTTGGTTTGAAAATTTAAATCAGACATGATTGTCACTAAAAGTTTTGCTAAGAGGTAGTTCCCAAGGACACAGAGCCTTGCAGAATTTTCCTGCTTACAGATCTTCCAGAAGACCAGAATTGACTGAAGTATTAAATGGAGATAAAACTTGTGGAGGTAAGGATGTCCGTGTGTATAGAAAGGATTAAGAAAAGTAGCTCAAAAGGGTATCCTCAATGAAAACAATATCCCTGCTTCTCTCTGTTCTATGATTTGCAAACAATCAGAAACTCTATAAATCAGTGAAAATCTAATTTAAGAACAATTATTTAGTGACTCCAATATTACTTTAAGGAACTGTTTATTTTTAAATAATCTGAAGCTTACAGAAAAGTTACAAAGATAGTAGGGAAAGTTTCCATGTACTCTTCACCTAGCTTCCCCTAGTGTTACATTACACATTACGGCTGTAGCACAGTGATCAAACTAATAAATTAACACTGGCACAATACTATAAGCTACTTTAGATTTCACCTTTTTTTTCCCACTAATGTCCTTTCTCATTTTCAGGATCCAATCTAGGATCCCACATTGCATTTGTTGCTATGTCTCCTTATTCTCCTTCAAATCTTTGGTAGTTCCTCCGTGTATTTTTTTTAAATTGCTTTATTGAGGTCTAAGTGATATATGAAACACTGCACATATTTAATGTACAGTTCTTCTGTCTTTCCTTGTCTTTTATGCCCCTGACACTGGTGAAGAATGCTGGTCAGGTATTTTGTAGAATGTCTCTCTTTCTTTATCTAAGGCTAAGGTCTTCTCATGATTCAACTGAGTTTATGAAATTTTGGAAGAATACCAAATGCATGATGTGCCCTTTTCAGGACAATTTATCAGGGGATATGACCTCAATATGTCTTATTACTGCTGATATTAACCTTGAGCACTTGGTTAAGGTAGTGTCTGCCAAGATTCTCCACTATAAAGATACAATTTTCCCCTGTGCAATTAATAAATATGTGGGGGGAGATACTTTGAGGTTATATACATATTCTGCTTTTCCTTACACTTTAACCAATTTTAGTATTTATCTTGCCTGCAGCAATTATTACTATGGTCCTTTAACAGCAATTTTCTACTTCCCTCATTCCTTTTACATTTACTAATTTAAATTCTTCTGTAAGGGGCAGTTCTCTCTCCATTTATTTATTTACTCAGCATTTATTTATATCAGTATGGAATCATGAATATATATTTTATATGGGGGGCTATACTCTAGTACTATAGTTGCCTTCTTTATTGCTCAAATTATTCCAGCTTTGGCCATTGGGAGTCAGAACACAACTATGGGACATTGAAGCTACTTTCGTCTTTATGACCAGGAAGCATGGCTGTATGGCCTACAGGGAACCAAGCAAGATATTTTAATTTTTATCCCCATTTAGTTATAAGTATCAGGAACCTAAAATAATATGCTTGTACTCAAGACTTATTTCTAAGGATATGAGTTATTTCTCAACTTCTAGGTCACTTTCCTATCTTTGTTTTGTCTTAAACAAATATACTACTGTGTTTTCCCTCAACTGACTAGTAAATTATACGGTAGAAAGTATTCTGATAATCAAAATAAAAGCTCTTTATGAAAGTTTACAGTGCAACACTATGAAAAATTTTCATGTTCTTTAAAAAAGATACTTTTTAAAACATTTAGTGTAATAAATTCTGAGTTTACCTACCGTTCAAGGGTGACTCTTGTTTGAGAAAATGGCCTTCTTGTATATCTGTGGTTTAGAATTCACCTTTTTCAAATCTAAACAATAAAAAAGAAGGAAGATTTTTAATATACATATTCAAAATTCTTAGACAACCATCGTTTCCAAAGTGTACAAGCACAAATAAATTTTTTTTTGTTGGATTTCATTCTGAATGTTTGCTTTCCCTGAACTTGGTTTTGTATTTTCTAGAAGCAACCAATAGGCTACTAACTGTAGAATCTATCTATAGAGACATTTATTAGATTGATTTCACCTACTTTCTGAGTCCTGTCATTGGTCATGAGTTAAGGTCCTTATCTCATCCGTCTTTTACATCATATTAATAATGAAACCTACATTATTGTACAGATATAAAAACTTATTGTGAAAGGATCAATAACCTCAAAAGACAGATGTTGATAAAACTCATGCACAACAAAAATAACATTAAGATATAACCTCATTCTAGATGGCACATGTCTGTTAAGCCTAAGGTAAAGTACAGTGATGTGTCATAACTACTTAGGGACAGGAGATGCAGCATATTCCATGTGAAGCAGATTTTTAAAAGGAAGACCCAGAGAGCACATTATCTAAGCAAAAGTGCCAAAAGTCTTAGGGTACATATCCTCGGCTCTTATGAAGGGCTCGGAGATCCTAGAATAGCTGTACATTCCCTGAAGACAAAACAGCATCTCCTGTCAGAAGTCTAATCATCAGGGCCTTAACAGACCCAATATCCAGACTCAATGTTCTGAATAGTCTAACTTACGAAAAACTCTATTTTTTTCTTTTTTAAAATTCTACACCTTTCAAATTAAACCTTGCAAAAACTTCTGTTTCCATGCATGACATAAAAGTAGATCATGAATATTAAATGTATTCCCATTTTGCATTTCTAACATGAAAAAATATAAACTATAGCCAATGTGTTTTGTTTGATTATTATTTCTCTGGCATTGTTTACTACTTTTGTTTGGAAATGGAAAACCTGTTAATGTAGACTCAGTATCAGTCATAAAGTAACAATTTGTTTTCAGAATGGGACATATTCTTCTACAGAAAGAGCTCATTTGTCAGTGTTTTAGACCTGTATGTTTTGTTTTCTGTCTGCTGACCTGTATCATGGCAATTTATATATGCACTCTCTAATTTGTTGTCAAAACAAAAGCAGTATCCACACCAAAAATGTTCATTATATATAACATGTACAATGCATGAGAAACAAATGGATGACCATTTTGATGTTTTTTTACATGTAAGTCAACTAAAAAGGGCTTTATATATATGAAAATAATAGGAAAAAAGATTAAAAATAATTTTTTGAACAAAATCTTTATTTGAAAATTAAAGAATGCTGCCTCCAGGTTAAGATTTTTATAATAGCTTTTTTTGACACTTGTCCCAATTTCCCTTTGACATATGTATGAATTAATTAATAAGTAATGAAAATAAAGAAGGAAGACAGTAAAGATTTTTGAAAACTTCTATTTATTCCTAGCTTGTAGCCCTAAGAGTTGAATCAAACAGAAAACTAGCTGGCTTCTGCAACTTTCAGAGGCAGACAGAATTCTATCATTTTTCCCAGAACTCTGTCTCATGACTAAGATAGGTAATCTCTCTTCTGTATTTATTCAGCATTACACTGTACCATAGAAAGTATAGTTTCCAGGCATACATTTTATTTGTATATTTTATATATAATATATATTTCGAATCCCCTCCTGAGGATATAGTTTATTGATTTTTTTTAGAGAGAGAGGGAGGGAGGGTGGAGTGAGAGAGAGACAGAAAGAGAAAGACAGAGAGAAAAACATCCACATGAAACACTGGCTGGCTGCCTCCTACATGTACCCTGACTAGGGATAGAACCTGCCACCTTTTGTTGTGTGGGATGACACTGAAACCAAATGAGTCACCTGGCCAGGGCAGATATATTTTATTTTATAAATAAATATACCATAAACTGTTACTTATATTAATATTAAAATATAATTGCATGTGTTAATTATAACTTATATTCAAGTACCTAGTTGATATATTAATAAGTTATATTGATATTTATTATATTTATTTTATAGATATACTAAAATACTATAAAATTATATTATAAACTGTATTTATTTTAATAGAGGACAGAAACAAGATCTATTCTGGGGCAATAAATTTCAAGGATTATAGTTTTTTCATGTTCTCCATCTGGTCAGTTAAATTCAGATTGGTTTATATTTAGATTATAATTTGTCCTGCTCATGTAAGAGAATAAGGCTGTGAAGATAGTAGACAAGACCCTCACATTTCAACAGAACACATATTAGATAGGGGCTGTTCATATCTACTCTTCCAACTTTTTATATCTCAGTAGGATTTTCACCAGAATCTAAGCAGATAATAATGCAGCAAAAGGGCAATTTCTCAGACTAATTTGGCCAAAATGGTGTAAATGATAACACTTGATGTAAGAAATAAAAACCATTAACAATGGAAACAAGTGAAAACTTATCAAAGAATTACTTCCCCCAAAAGGGGCCTAGATAATGTTATAATTTCTTTTCAAAGTTTCAAGGAAGAGATAATTTCTTTGCTATATAACCCATTTCTGAGTAGGAAAAACTGTAGTGACCAAATTAATTTTTCAAAAGTAGCATAATATTGATATTAAAAATTCATAAGAACAAAGAGAAAAATACCAATATCATGTATTAACATTAAGTTAAAATTATAAATAAAATGCTAATCAACAAATTTAACAGTATACTAAAAGAATAAACCACCATAATCCAGTTGGACTTATCTCAGAAAGGCAAAGGTGATTTAATATTAAAGAGCCTATTAAAGTAATAGGTCAGAGCACCAAAGCAAATTTTTAAAGAAAACAAATAACTATCTCAAAAATGGAAAATAACCCTCAAAATTCAACATAGTCTTGATAATATTTCTTTAAAAAACCAAGACTTTAATAACATGAATATTTATTTCAAACTTAATTGTGAAATACTAAAGCAGCATTTCCCCAAGTGTGTTTTCTTTTTTCCCCCAGAAATACAAGTTCTTTATTAAAAAAAAAAACACAATAGTAATGGAAGGCTTTGATAATCTCTCAGAATTTTGACAAATCAATTTGGCAAAAAGTAGACACAGCATTTGAATAATACAAGGAACTTAAAGTCAACATTCATTTCTTATGTGATAGACATTTACAAAAGAAAAAATATTTAGCCCTGACTGTTGTGGCTCAGTGGGCTCGGCATTGACACCCAAACGAAAGTGTTTGTGGTTTGATTCCTGGCCAGGGCACAAGTCTGGGTTGTGGAGCCAGCTGGGGGCCTGCAAGAGGCAACTGATCAATGTTTCTCTCCCTTTCTTTTTCCCTCCCTTCCCCTCTCTCTAAAAATAAATAAATAAACTCTTTGAAAAAGAAACAGACAACAAAAAAACACACACAATTATTTACCGGACACTGAAAAATCCTTAATAAAGTCCACAAAGCATTTTTTGGTCATAATCAAATAACTTTCAGGAAACTTATAAAAATACCAAAAAAACAAAATCATAGAAATCAGAACTCCTAACTCACCCCCTGATCAAAAAGGCAATTATGAGTTATCTAGAAAGTAATAAAAATTACACTTAGATAGGACCTGTATTCATGTAATTTGTAGTCTTGAATACTTTTAATTTTTATAAAAGAACTGAAAAGTGAACTGCATGATTCAATTTAAGAAAATTAACACTATAAACCAAGAAAAAGTAGGAAGAGGAATGTAATACAAATGAGAGATAAAAATAAATGAAAAAAATACTTGAAAGGATAAGTTTTGTTTAAAACACCAAACAAGTCAATACTCAGCAAGTCTAACTCAGAAAGATCAAATGAAATTGCTTATTGGGAATGCAATAGATATTACAGTCACACACACACACACACACACACACACACACACACACGGAAAAGACTGAAAAAATTAGATGGTGTGCAAATCCATACCAACCAAATTGAAAATCTAAAAGAAACAGATAACTTCCTAGCACATTTTGGACTTCCACAAAACCCTACCATAATGTAAAAGTGGGGTCCAAATATTTTGGTACCCTAAAAAATGCAGGGCTGTATTACTGCAAAATTAATGAAAACCAGTATTTTTTTCACCTTCCCATGACTTGACATCAAGCTGGTACACCCAAGCCGCAGAGGTGGCACTGCCCATCTTTAGGCAGACAGCTGTTCTGCTTCTTTTTTAAAGTATATTTGGTTGATTATGCTATTACAGTTGTACCATGTTTTTCTCCACTTTATTCTCCTCTGCCCTGCACCCCATTCCCATCAGCATCTCCCCACCTCAGTTCATATGAATGGGTTATACATATAAGTTCTTTGGCTTCTCCATTTCCTATGCTATTATTAACATCCTCCTGTCTATTTTGTACATACCATTTATGTTCTTAATCTCTGCTCTAGCTCTGCTCCCCACTAATAACCCTCCATGTGATCTCTATTTCTGTGATTCTGTTCCTGTTCTAGTTGTTTGCTTAGCTTGGTTTATTTTTGTTTTTTAGGTTCAGTTGTTGGTAATTGTGAGTTTATTGTCATTTTACTGCTCATAGTTTTTTTCTTAGATAAGTCTCTTTAACATTTCATATAACAAGGGCTTGGTGATGATGAACTCCTTGAACTTGACCTTATCTGGGAAGCACTTTATCTGCCCTTCCATTCTAAATGATAGCTTTGCTGGATAGAGTAATCTTGGATGTAGGTCCTTGCCTTTCATGACTTGGAATATTTCTTTCCAGCCCCTTCTTGCCTGCAAGGTTTCTTTTGAGAAATCAGCTGACTGTCTTATGGGAACTCCTTTGTAAGTAACTGTCTCCTTTTCTCTTGCTGCTTTTAAGATTCTCTCCTTATCTTTAATCTTGGGTAACTTAATTATGATGTGTCTTGGTGTGTTCTTCCTTGAGTCCAATTTCTTTGGGACTCTCTGAGCTTCATGGCCTTCCTGGAAGTCTGTTGTCTTCACCAGATTGGGGAAGTTCTCCTTCATTATTTGTCCCAATAAAT